TATATATAAATATATCATAGTCCCCAGTTTTATAATTTGATAGAGGAGATAGTGTTTTGGATCTTCTACATCATAGAATCCTAAGAATATTTTTTTTCGTGGTGCTAGGGATTGAACCCAGAACCCAGAGACTTTGCACTGAGCTGCATCCACAGCCCTTATTTTTTTCTTTTTTTAAAAAATTTTTGAGACAGGGTCTCACTAAAGTTGCTAAATTGCCCAGGTTGGGGTTGAACTTGCAATCCTGCCTCAGTCTCCCAGAGTGTTAGGATTATAGGTGTGCACCACCATGTGGCTCCACTAAGACCCACTGAGTGCATTCTGTGAGCTCCTTCATTTCTAGGTACTTGGGAAATAGAGATAAAAGATGCAAGGGCTGGGGATGTGTGCAGCTAGGTGTAAAGTACTTGCGTAGCATGTTATCAAGCTCTGGCTTTCATCCATAGCATGGGTGGGTGGCAGTGTTTAATCTGAAGAGATAGAGACAAATTAAGGACAAGAAAATCACAATAGACTAGGATTAGTGTCATGACAGAATGAGCACAGGAAGCAATGATGCTTAGAAAAGAAGTAGGGGTGGGGGGAGCTGAAGAAAAGCTTACACATGACTAAAATCGGATTCATTAGCAGATGATGCATTTGTCAGGTGAAGATCTGAAAGCTTCTAAATTTTCTTCTGGGGAGACAATGTGTCCTATGATTTTTTTTGTGGTCCCCATATCCCAGAGTGCAAGAACATGTTTGCTGATGTTTACAAAGAAGAAAGGCTATAAAAGCCGCTGGGGCATATGGCAGTCAAGACCCACAGCAATTCCAGGTGACAGGCGGGAACAACGTGAACAGACCACTCTGAAACATCATCTACACATTAGTTTAATACACTCATAGCCATAATACAAGTTCCTTGAAATACTAATTCTGAAAAATGCTTGCAGTTGGTGATATTGTTAGGTTTGGTTGTTTTATCAGTATCTTAAACAGGTAAGCGTATCTTCACCCAGGATAATCTCCTGATCAAACTGTTTATCAGAGCATAACACATCTGGTCGCAGTATACCCGAGGTACAAAACCCACTTTCAGAATAAAGTTTCAAATGTTAGCCTGCAAATAGTAAGTTTAATAGTAATACTACTATGTTACAGTAACTAGCACTTATGGGCTCCCAATGTTTTTTAATAGTTTTCTAGTGTTTTGAAAAGACCTAGCATCTTGAATTTATTAGTGTTGAAAGTTTCAAAGGGTTTGTATGTACATCTCATTCGATCCTTATAAAAATCTCGCCATTTAAAACACTGAATGAATGAGATGAAACAGAAGCCAAGAGAAGTCCCAGTGATTTGTCCAAGGTGACACAGTATTGACGAGTGCCCACCTCCTACTGAAAAGGCAGCTATGATTAAATTAGTCCCCAGGGCAGGCTGGGAGAGAAAGAGCTAGGAAAAGGCTGAACATTTCTTGAATTCCATATTTTAAAAATCTGCTTCCAAAGCGTTTAAATTGTCACCCCAATTTTTCATTTAAAAAGGAAATCTAGTCTAAGGATGCAGGCCTCTAATACCAGCAGTCTGGCAGGGTGAGGCAGGACTGCAAGTCTGAGCCCGACCTGGGCAACTTAGTGACTTAGCAAGATCTAGTCTTAAAGAAAAGGTGGGCATGTAGCTCAGTCCAAAGGTCCTGCGATCAATCCCTAGTATATGGGGCTGGGGGAAGGAAATCAAATTTTGTTCAAAGCTTGTTTTCAATAGCTTTTAATTAAATATGTAAAATTTCCAGCTCCTGAAATGTTTTTCTATCAGTATGTTAGAGTGCCCCACCAACCCTAACCAGGTTCCAACTTGGGCCCTACATCAAAAACCAACGTCTCAACAGTTCCTTCCCAGGAGCCCCTAGACTCATCTTCTGGGGAATCCTCTGGCATGGGTAAGGGAACTTAACTTTGTCTCTGGCTTTTCTCTTCTAGGGGATTTAAATGCTCATCCTGTGCATGAGGCTTCAGGGGCTCAGACCCTCTATTTTATATTTATGTTTTATTTTAAAAAATAACTTATCTAAATTGAACTAAAATTTGCATACTGCACAATTTACAAACTTGAAGTGTATGCTTCAGTAGATTCTAGCATATTGACAGTTGCATAGCCATGACAATTAAATTTAGATCATTCTTGCTGTCCCAAAACAAAACACTGCACCCACTAGCTGTCATCTCCCAGCTCTCCATGACACTAAATCAGGGCAACCACAGAGCTACTCTCTATCGTCACACATTTTCCTCTTCTGGAAATTTATTTTATTTTTTATTTAAAATACACTATTATGCTCATGGGAACAATAAAGAGCTTAACATATCCAAGGAAATGGAAATCCTCCAAAGTGAGCTCTCAGAGTCCACTGGAGTGAGACTAAAAACCGAGAGCAGAAACACAAAATATAATAACCGTTTTTTTCCTTTTTTCCTATTATCTTTTATTTCATACTTTATTTATATATTAACTTTTTACATAAGGGAAACTGTGATGTTTAAGCTTGTGCGTCTGATTTACTTCACTCAACATTATGGTCTCAAGGTGCATCTATTTTCCTACAAATGCCTCCAGCCCACCTCTCTTCACAGCATAGTTAGTACTCCATGGTGTCTGAACACCACACTTTACCCATTCATCTGTTGATGGACATAATGGCTGCTTCTAAGACTTAGCTATTATGAATTGTATTTGTCTATGTTTATAACATCCTTGCTCACCCCCATCATCAAGCACAAGTCCTTGTCTACCCTATGACATGAGTAAAGGTTTTGTGATGAATAAGCGAACAAATGATGCACATTTCCCAGTGATAGCTTGATAGGAGACAAAAGGCCACATGATACCTTATTTTTTTCAGTACTGGGGATCGAACTCAGGACCTTGTAGTTGTGTGGCAGGCGTGGCCTCACATACCTTATTGATCATAGTTGACCTTCTCTTGAGAGATATGACAGTTACAATAATAATGCATCTGGCAGGCATCAGCATTTGCAAGTTGAAGAAACATATCACAGACATGAGTTATTCTAATTAGGGACGCCCCCACCCGCGATCTAACTCAGGAACTTGCACTTGTGAGGCAGGCACCGCGCCACTGAGCTAAATCCTTGGCCCTTTTGGTTTTTTTTGGTACTGGGGATCAAATTCTGGTCCTTGTGCTTGCGCAGCGGGCGGTGAAACCATTGAGCTAAATCCCCAGCCCCCTTTTGTTTTGTTTTTTTTTTTGAGACGGGTCTCACCATGTAGCCCAGGCAGGCCTCAAACTTGTGGTGATCTTCTCCCTTCAGGCTCCTGAGTGCTGGGATTACAGGCATGTTCCCACACCCCAGCTAGAACTCTTTTTTAAAATTTTTTTATTTTTGGTACCGGATCAAACTCAAGACCTTGGGTGGTGGCACCACTGAACTAAATCCCCGCCCCTAGAACTCTTATTTGGTTAGAGAATCAACACTTATTTTTAGGCTATTCTTATATGCATATACATACATTCTTAAAAGATGAAAACTAAGAAAAAGAATAGATCTATCTTTTAACAAATGCTGTACATATTCTAATTTTACATCTAAAGATCAACCATATTTTCAATGCTCTCGGTACCTGACACCGAAATCCCTGACCTTCTGAATTGCAATTTGAGTCTAAATTGGATGAGAGAGAGAATGTCAAGTGATAGGAAGACCAGTGAGAGTACGACAGTAATAGTTTAAAGGGCAGGAAGAAAGTAGTGCTGAAATGGAGTAGAGGAATATAGAAGTGAAGTAAAATGAGAACATCTTCCCAGATAAGTTAATTATTAATAATTACCTTCTCTGAAATTAAACTGATTTTACTTTCAAGTCCTTTGAACTCATTGTTTTCTATTTTCAGTAACTGGTATTGGTTTTCCACCTTTGCAAACGTTTCCGACTGTTGAAATACAAACCTGGAAAAAGAAAATAAAATCACTACTGCTCAGTCCGCAGTCATTTGAATTTGAAAGGATTATTTATTATACCCACTTCTGGTAAGAACATCAATTCTGGCATGGGTAGCTGCAACTTTTGTCAGTGTCTTGCAAAATTCACACAGCCTGCTGGTTTAACGCTGAGTAAACATAAAACACTGCCTTTGTTCACGTTCACAGCCCACTGAGAGTGCAAGGTCTGTAACAGATGTCCATACAAGAAATATTTTGCAGGATGCCACATTGACCAATTTAGATTAAGATTGCTGATCTCAACTATTTTTTTGGAGTATCTAGAAAACAGGTATTTTAGAGAAACAACAAATGCAGGCCAACAAGTTGTTAAAAAGTATTTTAAAGCTAAAATTTAAGACGAAGAAAAGCAGAGAAGTGGAGAGGAGATAGTGATAAGTGTTTAGAAGGTTTCGTATGAAAAGAGAAGAAAGTAAGAGTGCCATTATAAAAATAACAGAACATGTATGTGGTACAGGGTACTCAACAATGACTCATATAGGTGCTGGACTGTAGTTACCATTCTAAAATTAGGGCTGGGATTGTACCTCAGTGGTAGAGTGCTTGCTAGCATGTGAGAGACCCTGGGTTTGATCCCAGTTCCAAGGCAAAAAAAATAAGACAAATCAAATAAAACTGGAGTGTATTCTTCATCTGGTAAACAGTGAAAGTGCAGAAGCAAAGCCAGGCATGCTGGTGCACGCCTATAATCCCAGCACTCAAGAGGCTGAGGCAGGAGGATTACTGGGAGTTTGAGGCTAGCATGGGCTACACAGTGAGTTCAAGGACAGCCTCAACTACATAGCAAGACCTTGTCTCAAAAAATAAAACAGGCCAAAAGCATAAAAAAGCTTTCCTAATCTTTAAAACAATACATAAGCACCAGTTTGTAAAGGATTTGAAATGAGCAACCACAAAAGAAATGTTTGGGATTAACAACACTTTGGCTATCTATTCTCTCTGAACTCTTCAGGCTTAGAAAAAGTACCAGTTGAAATTAAATATATTAGTCATCAAAAGGCAATGAAACAGAAGCAGGTGAAGCACCTGCCTAAGTCATAGTACATAGGACAGTGGTTCAAAAGCTTCCCCGCACACTGGAATTATCCGGCGGCTGTAACAAATTTGATGATTTCATCCCACTCACAGAGATTAATTTAACTGGTCTGGGACGTGACTTGCCTGTTAAAAAGTTTTACAGTACTAGTCAGGCTAAGAACCACTAACTGATTATGTTTTGTAAATTCATTTCCACTGAAAGATAAACATTTAAAGATTCCAAAGCTTCATGGAGATGTGAGAGATTAAAAGCTATCTTTTATTTTGGTCTTTATTTGTATTTGGGTTTCTCATATAAGAGAAACTATACCATATTTAAACTTGTGTATCTGATCTATTCCACTTGACATTACTGTCTTCAGGTTCATCCATTTACCTGCAAATGCCTCAAGTTTATCTTTCTTTATGGCAGAGTAGTACTTCATTGTGTGTAAATATTTTTAATCCATTCATCTATTGATAGACATTTGGGCCGTTTCCAAGATTTAGCTATTATAAATTGTGCTGCTATAAACATGGATATATGAATGTGTCACTGTAATATGATGATTTTAACTCTTTTAGGAAGATACCCAGAAAGGGAATAACTGGGTCAAATGAATGTCTATTTTTACTTTTCTTTTTTTTTTGGAGACAGGGTCTCATTCTATAGCCCAAGCTGGCCTTGAATTCACAGTAATCCTCCCGCCTCAGCCTCCCAAATGCTGGGATTACAGGAGTGCACCTCCATGCCTGGCTCTTTGTTTTTTGAGGAATCTCCATAATGGTACTAGTTTACATTCCCACCAAGAATGCAGAAGAGTTCTTTTCTCCCCACATCCTCACTAGCACTTGTCATTACTAGATTTTTTTGATGATAGCCATTCTTTGTGGGGGTAAGATGTTATCTCAGGTTAGGTTTTTTTTTTTTCTTTCTGGTACTGGGGATTGAACTCAGGACCTTGTGGTTGTGAGGTAGGTGCGGTACCACTGAACTAAATCCTGGCCCCCTCAGTGTAGTTTTAATTTGCATTTCTCTGATGGCCAGTGATGTGGAACATTTTTTCATGTATTTATTGGCCACTAGTACTTCTGAGAAGTGTCTATTCATTTTGGTTGCCCATTTATTGATTGGGTCTTTTATTGTGCGGGGGAGGGTCTTTTTTTTTTTTTTTTTTTAATTCTTTATATAGTCTAGATGTCTTGTTCAAAAATAGCGGGCACAATTTTTTTCCTACTCTGGAGGCTGCCTCTTTGTTGGTTGTTTCCTTTCATATACAGAAGCTTAACTTGATATGATCCCACTTGTTGGTTCTTCACATTATTTCTTGTGAATTGGGGTTCTGTTTAGAAAGTCTTTGGCTATGCCTTCAGAAGTTTTACCTATTTTATCTTCTAGCAGACTTTTTATTTAGATCTTTCATCCATTTTGACTTTTAGCTTAGTACATAGTGATATATATGGGTCTAGACCCAAGTCTTCTGCATGTGGATACCAATTTTCCCAGCACCACTGATTAAAGAGGCTATGTTTCCTCCATTATGTTTTTCGTCCCTTTGTAAAAGATGAGATAGTTGACTGTCTGGGGTTGTTTCTGCTTCCTCTATGCAAAAACAACTCCTTTCTGTTTTTGTGCCAGTATCATGGTGTTTTTATCACTGTAGCTTTGTAATGTAACTTCAAATCTGGGACTGTGATGCCTCCTGTTTTGCTACTGTTACAAAAAAAAGCATCTCATGCCTACTATAAATGTTTTTCTTATTTTTTGGTATGGGTATGAACTCAGGATTTTGGGCTTGCCAGGCTCAGAGCCACTGAGCTACATCCCCGGCCCATAGGTTTGTTTTTTGAGACAGGGTCTCACTATGTAGTTCAGGCTGTCTTGAACTCATGGCGATCCTCCTGCCTCAGCCTCCCAAGTGCTGGAATAAGGTTATTTTTAATATTTATTTTCCCAGTCATACCGAACTATCACTACTTGCTTGGTTTAAAATTTATAAATGTTCAATCGTTGAGTGCTTACAGTTGTTTTGCAGCTTTATAGCGTAGTTCAATCCGTAATTTAAGAAAAGATGTTATATTCATAATGCATGCAATGGATCAGAATATGAGAAATTCCTCCAAACTTCACTGCTACTAAAGTTTGTTACTTTGAGATCATAGTGAACTCTTTCCAAGTTGCACACACATCCATCAGGCCTTTTTGGGTTGAGTGGGGCAAATTTGTTCTGGACAGCATAGAGTGGACAAGAAGTAACAGTTTATAACATTATGTAAAAGAGCCTTAGTGTAGCAGGTGCTTAATGAAGCACGGCCAATAGTCGGGTGTAGTGGAGCTTGCTCGTAATCCCAGCACTCTGGGAGGCTGAGGCAGCAGGATCCCAAATTCAAGCTCAATCTGCGCAACTGAGCGAGGCCGTCTCAAAATGTAAGAGAGTGGCCGAATCTGCAGCGTTTAAAAAACGGCTGACTCGTTCCCAAACTTCAAGCTCAACTCCAGCTGTGCGACAAGGATATGCAGCTAGTGCGAAGTTCAAGAGAGTATCGCCAGAAAGAAAGGAAAGGTGGGGTGCGTCCTAGGTTCGGGGCGAGGCAAGGGCTCCTCGCAGTCCGGGGGGAGGCTGGACATGCCCAGCCCCGGGCCGCGCGTCCACTTACCAGGCCAGGCCCAGGCACGTCCCCAGCGACAGCAGGCTCAGCCCGATACGGGGGTCCGCCCAGGCCGCGGGCGCACCGCCTGGGGCCTCGGGGCTCCTGCCGCCTTCGCTCCGCTTTCCGGGCTCCGAAGGGGATGCCTTGGGCCCCGGCTTCTTCCGGTTCCTCACCTCGGCCATGACTGGAGGCCCTGAAGGAGGACCACGATCCCGGGCGGCCGCTCAAGCGGGGATGCAGGACGTGGCCACCGGAGCCTCTTCGCGAAGCCTCGTCCCCTCACAGACTTGGTCCCGCCCAGAAACCAGCCCTTTTCCTCTCCACGCCAGCGTCGCCGCTTCCCAGCCTCTGCGTTCCTCAAACCCAGCGCAACCGCTCCTCTTCAAGGCTGGCGGGCGCGCAGGCGGCCTGGACGACGGGGCGCGCGCGGGGCCACGCACGCCACGTCGCGCGCACCGCCTCCTCCGCTCGTAGGAGAGTGGCGCGCCCCTTGGCGCGGCCACGCCCCCACCGTGGAGGGGCGCAGTTCCCATGCGTGCGCGGGCACAAGCCGAGGCTGGGGCGCGCGCGGCGGCCGCCCTGTGCGTGCCCTGCGGGCGCGCGTTGCCTGGGCTGGGCGGGCCGCTCAGGTTTTGACTGCTCTGCGGTCCTGAGGCGAGCGGAGATAGCCCGGGGACGCCAGTACTTCCTTCCTGGCCCGAGGCCTGAGGGAGCCTCCGGAGTGAGCGGACCGCGGAGGACCCGAGTAGCCGCGGTGGCTGGGAGGGCGCGGGCTTCCCTTCGGGGTGCTGCTGCCGCGGGAAAGGTGGCGGCCCGAGCGGCCGAGCAGCCTTTGTGTGCTGGGTGCAGGGTCCGGCCGCCCAGGTGACGCCCCTGTCCCCCCTCGGAGGTCCCGGGGCCGGGGAGCTCGGGCCCCCATTCCTGCCTGGGCCCCCCACTGCCGTTCCCGTTCCCGTTCCCGCCCCCGGCTGCCCTGCGGGGCTGTACTTCCCGGCGCCCGGCCGTGGGTGAGTCACCTGCCGCCTTTCTCCGGGGTCAGCGGCGGGGCTGGGGCCGAGGGCTGATTACCACCCTGCTCCTGTACCGGGCAGATCAGTCACCTGAAGAGGAAGTAGTACGCTGTTGCAGTTTTCTTGGACGAACTTACTCTTTGTACGTCTGTGAAGAGTTTTGGTTTTCCTTTTTGGAAAGGGGGCTTTCCATTTTGATGTGGTTACAAAAGGCGGGATACTTTGAGAATTTGCTGATCACATTTCAATTCGTGTTGAAAACTTATATATGTCAGTTTAATAGGGCTAGGTAAAACTGGAAATTAGTTTTGGGTTGCCAGTGTCTATTGCTTAGCAATTGGACATAACCTAAGAAAGTTCATTTTTGTTTCGTCAAGTCTAATTTTCTTACTATAAATTGAGAAGTGTCCTAACATTTTGAAAATGTGATAGTCTTGATTCTAACTTTTGAAAAAATCAGTTTCACACTAGTCCTGGGCATTGTGTGAACCTTGCCAAGCATACGCAAACGCCCTACTTCCCTATTTTTGAAAAGTGCTACATTTGGTGACTTTTCAAAAATACATTCATTTCCCAAGCTTGGTTACTGCCCCCATTCTGTGCTCTCTGAATTACTTCCTTATCTTAAGATATTCACATTCTAATTGTTGCTCTTTTTTTCGTTTACTAGATTGTGAATTCTTTCAAAGATATCACTTAAATCTCCCCCCTCCTCTGATACTGGGGATCGAATTTAGGACCTTGCACTTGTGAGGCAGGTGCAGTGCCACTGAGCTAAATCGTCAGCCCTAGGATATTTCTTAAGCTCTCTGGATGCCTGGCTTATAGGCAGGGTTCAAATGTGTATTGTATAAATAAATGAATAAGCATACCTAGCACTCAGGAGGCTGAGTTAGGAGGAGCCAGAGTTCTAGGCTAGCCCGGGCAATTTAACAAGTTCAAGGCCAGCCTGGACTATGTAGAGACCTTGTCTCAAAGAAGAAGGAAAAAACCCCCTAAAACCCAGGGTTACCTCTTAATCCAAGAAGTTACATCAGAGGGTATTTCCTGTTGCTTTGTGATAATGTTTGCTAATGAAAATCTAGAGTTGACACCCACTTTGAATAACTAAAAATTCCAACAATGCTTTGTTTAGTCTTTATGTTGAATAAAGAGAACAAAATGTTTCTAAAAGTTAGGGCTTAAGTATGGTCACTAATTTATAAAATCTTAATTTAAAAAAGGAATATTTTTATTGTATAAATGATGTGTACTGAAAAAATTAAGGCAACATACAAAAGTATATGAAAAAGAAAGGAGTAAGGAAAATCCCAAATCTTACTAGTCAGTTGCCCTAATGTTTTAATGAACAAACTTCAAAACATATTTATGTGGCATCAACACATTTTCTTGTTATATATGGGGTTGTGTTTCAAATTTTTCAATCAGCAGTGTGCCATGAACATGTATTTTTTTTTTTTTTTTTTTGGTACCAGGGATTGAACTCAGGTCCTTGTGCTTGTGAGGCAAGTGGCGGAACCACTGAATAAACCCCCAGCCGACCATGTGTGTTTTATACATGGAAATGCCTGTATAACATTCTGTTCTGTATATACACCCTAATTTTAAAAAATCCATGTTCAGAATGATAGATATTTAGGTTGTGTTCATTTTTTTCTCACCTTAGCACTCCACTAAGTCTTGCTGTGGATGTTTTTGCATACATAAATGACTATCTCCTGGAAGTTTTTTAGAAATGGGATTTCTGGGTTATAGAGAATGCTTTTATTTTATTTATTTATTTTTTGGGTTTTTTGAGATGGTATTTCTCTATGTAGCCCAGGCTGGCCTCGAACACGCAGCAATCCTCCTGCTTCAGCCTCTCAAATGCTGGGATTAAAAGGCATACATCACCACACCTGGCTAAGAATGGTTATTTATGTGTTTTTTTTTTTGTTTTTTTTTTTTGTTATTTATGTATTTATTTTTTGGTACCAGGGATCAGACTTGGGATCTTGTGCTTTCGAGGCAGGCGGCAGCTGCTCCGCTGAACTAAATCCTTGGCCCAAGAATGGTTATTTTAAATACTTTTGTATCTTATATTGGCTTCCAGAAAAGTTGCCTCCATTTTGTAGTCTCCCAAAAAAGTGCATAAGAATATTAAATTTCTCACCCTTTTAAAGCACTGAGTTTTGTTTGTTTATTTATTTGAGACAGGGTTGCATTATACAGTTCAGGTTGGCCTTAAACTCACTGTGTAGCCTAGGCTGGCCTTGAATTCATGGGAATCCTCCTGCCTCAGCCTCCCAAGTGCTGGGATTACAAGTGTGTACCACCATGCCTTGGCTGAGTTTTGTCCATTTTAAAAAGCCTTAGCAAAAATATCCAAGTTTTCTTTACAGTTCTCGCTTGACTACCAATGAGGTTCTACATCCTGATTTTTTTTTTTTTTTTTTGGTACCGGGGATCCAACTCAGGTCCTTGGGCTTGTGCAGCAGGCGTCGAAACCACTGAGCTAAATCCCTGGCCCTGTCCTGATTATTTGTTTTGGGGTCCTGGGGACTGAACCCAGGTCATTCACACTGCTATCCCCAGCTCATTTTTAAATTTTGTGACAAGGTCTCACTAAGTTACTAAATTGCCCAGGCTGGGCTCCAACTTGCTCTTCTCCTGCCTCAGCCTTCCAGAGTTCTGGGTTTACAGGCATGTGCCACCACACCTGGCTTACACATCTTTTCATAAGTTTATTGTCCTGACAGATACTTTGATGTTTTGTCTGTAGCTCATGGTTGAGAGCTCAGGGAGAAGAAACTTTGGTAGAGGATGGATGCAAACGCTCGAAATTGTTTGCTTCAACATAGAGAAGCTCTGGAAAAGGACATCAAAACAGCCTACATCATGGATCACATGATTAGTGATGGAGTTTTAACAATATTAGAGGAGGAAAGAGTAAGAAATCAGGTAAAACCCTTTCAGGTGGTCTGTACTTTTTTCTTAAAATTTCAGAACTTGATATTGATCTTCATTGATTTATGTTGAAAACATGCTTATCACTATTTACTAAATTACTTAATTTTTTTTTAGCCCAGTAACCATCAACGAGCAGCTACACTAATTAAACTGATACTTAATAAAGATAATTATTCCTACATATCGTTCTACAATGCTCTGCTACACGAAGGATATAAAGATCTTGCTGCCCTTCTCCATAGTGGCATGCCTGTGCTTTCTTCCTCCAGTGGCAAAGATTCAGCCGGTGGAATAACTTCATATGGTTTGTATCCTTGATACTTTCTGTCACATTGCTATTATGGTGGCTGCATCGCTCTGATATGTCTGATTGCAGAAGTAATGTTCTGAAGGCAGTACAACAAGTTCACTGAAAAATGCATGTGGAAAAATGATAGAGTTTTCAATTTAAATACTGCTTACATGCATCCACCTAACACATTTTATTTTCACTCAGAGAACTATTTACTGCTGTGATACTAATGTGTGTACCTTAATTTTTAGAGATAAGATGGTAGCTCTTATTTATCTTGTAGTTTTGTGTATTTTAGAGTTTATAGGAAAGAATAAAAATATTTAGAAATCCGTGTACTTGAAATAAGTTCCTTAAACATTCTTCCCTTTACACTCACCTTCCCAGATTTTTTTTTTCTTGTTTTCTTTTTTTTAGTTGAGTGCTGGGGAGTGGACCCCAGCCTTCATACCTGGTGAACAGGTGATCTTTGTTCTACTGAGCTTTACTCCATTTTCCCAGCCTTCAGCAGAGACAAAGCGGCTGGAGAGTCAGGGAGTGATAAGGTGTGAGAGGCAGGTGTACATGGAGACTTCCGTTATCTTGAAAGGTGTCTCTTTTGTTTTCTGTATCCCAAGCAGCCAGAAAGTTTTAAGTGAATGTGCTAGCCACATTTTCTTATTTCTCTTCGAAATTCTGAGGCTAAGCACTTTCCGGTTATTCTCTTTTTTGTATTGAGTAGCCATTTCAAGGTTTTACGCATCCGCACTTGTTTTGGGTTTCAGTGAGGACAGTGCTGTGTGAAGGTGGAGTACCGCAGCGGCCAGTTGTTTTTGTTACCAGGAAGAAGCTGGTGACCGCAGTTCAGCAGAAGCTCTTGAAGCTGAGGGGCGAGCCCGGGTGGGTCACCATCTATGGCATGGCTGGCTGTGGGAAGTCAGTGCTGGCCGCAGAAGCTGTCCGAGATCATTCACTCTTAGAAGGTAAGGGTTTTGGTTTTGTATTTTTATTTGTATTTATTTAGTTTTTCTGGCTATCTCCTTTTTTTCAGATTGATTGATTTATTTTTAAAGTCTTATGAACAGCCAGGGTAACAGACTAAAACACATATAAAATGCTTAAAACAACTGTGCTAAATCAAGGTACACTTTGAGAGACACTGGCCGTGCTGAATTACAAGAGCTTTCTTCCTTTCCTATTGTCTGTTTTTTTTTTTTTGTGCAGTTTATATTCTCATATAAGAGAAACCATGTAATATTTGAGCTTGTGTGTCTGATTTCACTTAACACTGTGCTCTCAAGGTACATTCCCTTTCCTACAGGTGGCTCAAGTTCATCATTCTTTATGGCAGAGTAGTACTCTATTGTGTACAAATACTATTCATTTGTCTGTTGGTTGGCATGTAGGCTGCTTCCAGGATTTGGCTTATATGAATTGTGCTGCTATAAACATGAGTATGCATGCATCAGTGTAATATGATGTCTTTGACTCTTTCAGGAAGATACTTAGAAGGGGAATAGCTGGGTCAAATGGAATTTCTATTTTTAGTTTTTATTTTTTGGTACTGGGGATCAAACTCTGGACTTTGCGCTTGTGAGGCAGGTGGCAGAACCACTGAACTAAGCCCTCTATTTTTAGTTTTTTGAGGAATCTCCATACTGATTTCCGCAGTGATTGTATCAGTTTGTTACCCTACCAGGACTCTAAAAGGGTTCCTTTCCACCCCCTGCAGTCTCACCAGCATGTTGCTGATTTCTTGAAGATAGCCATTCTTTCTGGAGATGGAATCCCAGTGTTGTTTTGATTTGCATTTGTCTCATTGCCAGCGATGCTGAACATTTTTTCATGTATTTACTGGCCGTTTGTACTTCTCCGAGCAATGTCTGTTCATTTCTCTTGCCCAGTTTTTGATTGGATGTTTTGAGGGGGTCTAATTTTTTTGAGTTCTTTATATAGTTTAGATTTCAGTCCTCTGTCCAAGTAATGGCTGGTAACATTTTTCTTCCCATTCTGTAGGTTGTCTCTTCACTCTGTTGGTTTTTTCCTTTGTTGTGCAGAAGCTTTTTAATCCCATTTGTTGATTCTCACTTGGTATTATTTCTTGTGTCATTGGGATTCTGTTATCTTCCAGCAGACTATTTCTGTTTTAATATTTAAATCTTTGATCTATTTTTATTTTAGTTTAGTGAATGAGGAGAGATATTGTATGGGTCCTTGTTCAATCTTTGGCATGGGGAAAGCCAGTTTTCCCAGAACCATTTGTTAAAGATGCTGTCTTTTCTGCAGTGAAAATGTTTGGCCCCTTTGTGAAAGATAAGGTAGCTGAGTGTGCCTGGAGTTGTTTCTGCATCCTCTATTCTGTTCCACTGATCCACAAGTCTGTTTTTTTTCCCCCCAATACCATGCTGTTTTTATCACAGTAGCTTTGTGGTATAACTAGAAGTTCGGGATTGTGTTACCCTCTGACTGTCCTTGTTGCCCAGAATTGTTTTTGCTATTCTAGGTCTCTTCTGGTTCTGTTAGAATTTTAGGATTGTTTTCTCTAGTTCTGTGAGGAATGCTATTGGTATTTTGATTGGAATTGTGTTAAATCTGTATAACAGTTTTGGAAGTATGGCCATTTTTATATTGTTTCTTACTGTCTAGGAAAATGGGGACATTTTCCATTTTCTGATCTGTTTGATCTCCTTTTTTCCTTTTTCTTTTTTCTCTCTCTTTTGTTTTGTTCTGTATTTTTGAGACAAGGTCTTACTGTATATGTAGTTCAGGCTGTCCTCGAACTCACTATGTAGCCCACGCTGACCCTGAACTCTTAGCAATCTTCCTCATCCTCCCAAGGCCTGGGATTACAGGCATGCACCGCCATGCCCGGCTTGATTTCATTTTTCAGAGCACTGTAGTTTTCATTGTAGAGGTCTTTCACATCCTCAGGTAGGTTAATTCCTAAGTAGTTAAGTATTTTTCTTGATACTATTGTGGAAGGTGTTTTTCCCCAGATTTCTCTCTTGGTGAGTTTATTTTGGGCCTACAGGAGTACTATTGAGTCTTGAGTGTTGACTTTGTATCCTGCTACACTACTGAATTTGGTTAATTCTAGGAGTCTTTTGGTGGAGTTTTTGGGGTCTGCTATGAAGAGAATCATGTCACTTGCAAATAATAATAATTTAACTTCTTCCTTTCCTATTCATATCCCTTTTATTTTTTTCTCTTGCCTAACTGCTCTAGCTAATGTTTTTAGAACCATGTTGAACAGGAATGGTGGTAGTGGACATAGAACGTAAGTGTTGACCATTGTGTGTTGCTGGCTCAAGAGATAATTCTTCAAGCATTGTATTAGTTTCCTGTTGCTCCTGGTAATAAATTACCACAAATGTAGTGGCTTAAAACAACACATTTATTATCTTGCAGTTCTGGAGGTTTCCACTTGCCTAAAATTAAGCAGTGCTAAATTCCTTCAGGAAGCTCTCAGAAGAATTCTTTCCCTTGAATTTTCTACCTTTTAGAGGAGGCTTGCAATCCTTGACTCCTGTTCTCTTCTCAAACTTGGCTGTGCCTGGTATTCTCCTCTCTCTCTCTCTCTCTCTCTCTCTCCCTCTCTCTCTCTCCCCTTTCTCTTCTCTCTGATCTTTGCTTCTGTTTCACATTTCCTTTTCTGACTTCTGACCTTCTTACATCCCTCATATAGGGGCCCTTGATTTCTTTAGGCTTACTTTATAATTGGGACAATCTTAAAATCTTTAACTTGGTGAAACCTACAAAATCTCCTTTGCCAAATAAAGTAACATATTTACTGGTTCTCTGGATTGGGAAGTGGGTGTCTTTTGGGGCCATTATTCTGCCAATAATGGGCATAATTAAATTTTGAATTTGTTTTCTACCTTGCCTGTGAAAATGAGGCTTGATTAGCTAGGACAGTTAAGTTCACAAAGGTATCAAAGGATATTTAACATTCCTGGATTCCTGATTCCCTTGTATCTGAACAACTGAGAAGATTGAAAAAGCTTTTTTTTTGGTACTGGGGATTGAACTCAGGACCTTGTGCTTGTGAGGCAGGCACGGAGCCACTGAGCTAAATCCCCGGCCCTGAAAAAGCATTTGAAAGGTTATCCAGTTTATATTACTGCCTTCAGGCAGGACTAGACTTTCACCTTCCTATCAGTGGAGTGTCTGGCTTGGTGTAGAGTACAGTAGGAGAGTTTCTTAGAAGCTCATTTCTGTTAGTGACTCTCCTATTGGGACATTCTGCTGTGTATTTGGCATCCTATATTAATTGAAACTATTAGAGGTAGGTTTTCTTTTTTTTTTTTATACCAGGGATTGTGCTCAGAACCTTGTGCTTGCCAGGCAGGTGCAGCACCACTGAGCTAAATCCTTGGCCCCAGGTAGTTTGGTTTCTATAATTAATTCTATTACTTGCTTATCTTTGAAAATAAACTCACCTTGTGTGTAAGCCCTAAGAAGAAAACCTGGGAGTTGACTATAGCAACTGGTGCATTTTTGTTTGTAGACTTTATAGATTCCTTTGACATCCTTTTCATGCTTCAGGTGTTTGTGCATTCAGTAAAAGTTTGAGAGCCTGCCCTGAGGTTGACAGTTTCTTCCCAAAAGAAGGAATAGTCTATGCACCTGAGGAATTCGTTCATGGTGTACGATGATAAACACAATAATCAGATTACGTACTGTGTATGTGATGGATGGAGCAGTAGGAGAAAGTATAAGGTACAGAGAAGGATCATGAACTGTGGAGGAAGAGGATGGTAGGGCAGTTGCCCTGAGTGAGATGACATTTTAGTTGAAGTTTGGAGGAAGAATAAAAGTGCTAGGTAGGGATGGGGAGAAGGAATGGTGTGAAAAATAGTAGATGGCTGCTGGATTGGGGAAAGGTGTCCTTTCAGACCCGTTTAGCAGGTGCACCTCTGACCCCAGTGAGTCTGGTAGGTTCCAGGGTATTTGTCAGGAGTAGGTGTCACTTCCTTCATTAGTCACTTCTCTCTGTGTAACACTTTCTGGGGATTCAAAGACCTTTTCTGACTTTTAGCAGAAATTTTTTTTTTTTGCATGCAAGTTATGATCAGTTAAGACAGTTTAGCTGACAAGTTGAATGAATTAAGTTGGAAGCTGCTAAGATTTGGAAAGACGGAGGTTGGGGGACATCCATTGTGCACACAAGGCTTTATTTTATAACTTCATAGCCTTTGTTAGCAGCCTCATTACACTCTTGTCAGGAGGATGCCCTATTCCTAATTCTTGGTTTTTCCCCTTTGTCATTACAGATAACGTTTCCTGGGACTTAGCTCCTTGCAAGTCTCAGAGCCAGAGAATTTTAAACAATCTCTAATGAAAGTTTATCCCTGAGGATATCTTATGATAAAATTAGCTTAACTTCTATTAGTGTGAAGTAATGTTTTCATTTCAGTATTACAAATCTTCTAGCCAGGTGTGGTGGCACACGCCTGTAATACTAGCACTTAGGAGGCTGGGAGGATTGCCATGAGTTTGAGGCCAGCCTGAACTGTGTAGTGAGATTCTGTCTCAAAAAACCAAAAGAAAGAAAAAAATTAAGAGCTTTCTTTAAAATATGTACTTATAAGGTATTAATTTATAGGATTAAAAGAATGCTCATATTTTAATTGCTCTATATTATGATAATGTTTATTTTTAGGGGTTAAAATTGAATATAGTATTAATGATTCAGGAGTCATATTGAATAAATTGTTATCTTGAAACAGGTTTTAACCACTTGGTTGAGAAAACCCCAGAGATACTATAACTGTGCAGAATATGTGAGCTTAACTCCTATCTTTCATATCAGAATATTGAGTTAATCGTGTTCTTTAGCTCAGGGTTCATTATCATTTTAGTTCTTCACAAGGCTTAGCTTCTTACTGTTTTTATCAATTTCCTTCTTTCAAGATTCCCATTCTCATTTCTTTTCCTTTCCTCTTTTTGTATTAGAAGCAATGGAATCTTTCTACAGTACTTA